ATCTGCTCACCAACCTTGCATCGAAGGCGCGACCTTACTCGGGGTCCGGGGGCATGCTCCACCTCAAACATTTTGAAATCATCTGAAACGCTATTTCCTGCATTTTGAGGGGCAAATTTGGCTGACACGAAGAGTTTCAGCTTGATTTTGGAGGGGCGACGCCCCCCAATCTTTTTTGCCCCCCGTGCCGCCGCCACTGCATTACATAATATTAGTATATTAATACGAGCTCCATTAAAGCATGGAGGTTTTTATTTATTTATTTTTTTTGGTTTAACTATCTTTTATTCCATACAATAGAAATTCTTTACAGCACAATGTCAACATACAACAAATGTCACAGCTATTATTACCTCCATGATTAAAGCACGGTTACTAAAAAAGAACCGTGATTAAAGTTGTGAGTACGTACACTGTGTATTTATTTCAAGTAAGTGCGAATTTGACATACTAATAAGTCCTGGGATACTCGCTCCCATCAAGGCTTCAAGGTGACTGTGTATGCTATTTATTAGTGTTATAAACAACGCCCACTTCAAGTTGGGGGAAATGGCTGGGTTGGATATCATCATTTTCGGTGCATTCGATTTTCACGATCACGACTCGGGGACGATTGAAAACCACTGGTGCTTACTGTCAACATTGTATTAATGACAACAGTACAGAAAGACTGGGAAGTAGACTATGCGCAGTCGCAGTATATGTTTTCATTGTCCGGTTTCATAGGTTCGCATCGGATCCGAAATATCTCTCTTCACTTTTGTTTTATAATTAATCTGATTAATACTGTTTATTTACACTTACATACATTTCATAGTGGTGGTAATGTGATTATGATGATTATTTTATAGTTTTGTGTGTACTTTATCCGTATTCAGTTTACGAACGTACATGTACGGGTTGTCGATTGGACATTTGGTGCCATATCTTCCTGTCAAGTTCCCTGAACATTTGCCATGCATGAGTGTATCCATTCCGCGCGCTGTTAAAATCCGTGTCTTGTGATATCAATTATGTTTTCTTTTGTTCCGTAGTAATACGCCGAAAAAATAGTGTTTTAAAAGTCAATATAAATTGATTGTTTATTCAAATATTACAACCAAACAGAATACTTTTAGTCCAATTTCGTTTCGTTAGGCGTGAGCGGCCTGGGTCACTAGCTATTATGGTAGCCATAGTTTAAATACAAATATTCAATTCTATTTTTTTTTAAAGAAATCTAAACTTTTTTTATTTTGCGAATCTATTGCTCAAACATATCATATATACATGTACTAGAATGCGATAAAGACTTGCCGTTCTCGACATTGTGAAATTCTTTCGTTTTTATGCAGAAAAATACAATATTTCTACCAAGTATATTCATATTTAATAAAGTTATTGTTCATACATGAGTTGTTGAAGACACTAACATAGTTTGTAATTTCACTCTTTCAAATAAAAAGCAAAAATATATAGAATATATAAACATATCCTTTTTCTACAGTATTCTTGTGTAATCGGTAATTATGAAAATCATTTAAGGGTGCACAGGGAATACATTTCGTTATGAATTATTCTTAATATAAATTTCTGAATTATCTTGCAGTTGTCAAAATCAGTTTCTTTTTCAGGATTTTTCTCCCTAAAAACGAAAGAATTTCACTATGTAAAAAACGGAAAGACTTTATCGCACTGTCTATATAGGCGTAACCTTAAACTTAATTGTGTCAAAAGTATATGCTGAAGGTAGCAGAAAACAAAATCTTTAACTTTTGTAAAAATCATTTTTTTCAGGGGTTTTCTTCCAAAAAACGAAAGAATTTCACAATGTCGAAAACGAAAAGTCAACTTTAAACTTAATTGTGTCAAAAGTATATGCTGAAGGGTAGCAGAAACAAAATCTTTACCGAAACTTTGTAAGGAAAATAACAATGTAGTTTTAGAAAGATAGATGACGTGAGGATAGTGTGAGGTAATTAAATAATAAATCAACATGTGTTGTCTTCGATAACATTTAAAGTGATGGTTTGCTGGTTTCTCTATAATAAATGCGATAATTAGATAGAAGGTATATGGGATTTAATTAATTGATGACATGTATGACCGAGTTCTTGCCAAAATCACAACCAATCCTTGAACTAAAGTAAAACACATTAAAATATCTACATGTCATTTTAGCGAATTTGACTCAAGACATCATGAATTACAAAATCTTATTTTAGCTAAAATGCCAATAATCTCATATACTTTATTCTAAATTAGCGACATCTTGAATTAGCGAAATTAGCCGGTTAAAATGACATGCTAGCTAAAAAGACGTGTTTTACAGTATTCTGGACAGACAAAGCAGTTGAACTGCAAAATATGCACAACTATCCAAATAATGAAGCTATACAACAACAAAATTTGGAAATTAAGAATATTTACTCCTGGGGAAACTAAAACATATAAATATGTTAAACATATAAATACATATTAGATATCGCTATTTCAAAATTGTTGTTGTACACATTTCATGGAAAGAAGCGAGAAAATATTAGCTTTCAGTGAATCTATCATATTTGAATACGGTGATGTCATGTGGCAATACATTATAATAATTTACGTTTACTAGAACCGATGCCCCAAACGTGCCGTTAAATACCTTTAGCGTTTCGTTTCGTACTTTAACCACGGTTACTAGTAACCGTGCTTTAACTAAGTAATACATTTACTGCGAATTTGGCATATTCTGCAGCCCCATTACTGGTTGTGTGTTGTCACATTGTACGTGTGTTACGTAACTCCTTTTGTATAGAAGAACAATAGCCAGTGGAATATTTGTTTTTCTCCAAAATACATGAATCATATAAGAACAAAAAGTATACAAATAATATACTATTAGTATTTAATAAAAAAAAATGATGTATGGTTTTTAATGGTTAGCATGGCATGACTGTTGTGCACACTCATTGAAAAATGTGCACATGCTGTCAGCACGGTAATAAGCTCGGTTATTAAAGGGCGGCAGACGTCGCGCCGCGTCCTGTTTGATATGGGACTCGAAGCGACGTATACAACGCTTGTAAAATACATTGTTCATTCACATGAAATTCGAACAGGCGCTGCGAAACAGGAAACTATAAGGGTATGTAAGCTTTGTAATGATGACAAATGAGATAATCCGGTATAACATTTATTTTATTCTTCATATTTTTTGAATAAGATTTTGGGAAACGTTTGTCAAAACAAATTCTAATCTTTTTCACCTGATTTAGGAAATTTAGGAATGAAAGACTAAACAATTTACATATATAAAGGCTTTTATAGTAGTACTTTTTGCTGTTGACGTGTATGCTTTTTGAAGCGTTTCTAAGACTTTATAAATAAATATTGTTATTTGTTTACGGCCATCTCGTGTTTACATGTAAAGTTTACATGTCCATTGCCCATGCGCAATTCTTTGGAGTAAAGATAGCACAAACTTATAAACAGCACGAATGTGATAGAATTTGGTGTCAGATTCATATCACATGATTGGAATTATATTCAAATTCGATTATGGTAATCACAAACTATCTTATTCATAGTTTTATAAAAAAATAAATTTAAATAGGAGGACATGAACCTGAGTCGCTACCTGAAATGTGTATAATCAATATACTTGCACAAGATTCTTGCAATCATTTACAATCAACATTGCGGAGGATTTATATGTCTTAGAGATTTAATTGTACTTCTTGTGTTTTTTTTATTAATTTCAATATTGTAACGAGGATTGTTATGTGTTAATACAATCATTGATCAATAAATCTGCATGATCGTGTGATCACATGACAATAATTATTAGACTTTATTTAAAATAGTTGTTTACATTTTACATATTTTTTTCTTTATCAAATTGAGAAAGGTTTTTACTCCATTTTGTCCTACAGCATTTTTGGTGGGGAAAATGCAATCCAGCACCAATCCGATGATTAGAATCCAACGCTTCGAATCTGACGTCAGCTTCAGACTTGAAACATTGTGCTTGAAATAAAGCGTGTGCTCAGTCTGATTAACACAGTTGCCTGATAACTTCATCCAAATTCATTATGCTTTGCAGAGCTGCAGTCGCTAAGAGGTAAACATGAAACATTTTATGGTATTTATGTGAATGGTCGATACGTGATAAACACCAATGATTTTTTGCGGGACTATTCTAATTTTAATTTCAGCCAGTCTAGCATTTGTCATACAACCCCGGCAGACAGCCATTGAACCAGTTGACCCAAGTCTGACCCAAGAACTGTGTCAGGACTGAATCTGTTTGAATTCGTTAAGGTTGATGCTAACTTTCCCAAATATTAACTCGAGCTTTCTGTCGAGTAGAGCTATTGTATTTTGTGTGCATTGTATTTACCAGTACGTCGCATGGGACTCCACTTCGAAAATGACGCGTCGCTATGGCCACTGCCCTTTAAAATCAGTAAAATGAACGCAGCAAATAAATAAATACAATTATAAAAGAGTTTTTTAAGGCCCCCTCACCCCTAACTTGAACCGTAAACACTCCAGCCCCAATGTACTGTGGAATACTTTATTTTCGCTGGAATTAATTTTCGCTGAAAAGGCTTTTTGGGCGTTTTGTGTGGAACTTATTTTCACTGATTTTTGATGAATTTAATGTGAAATATAGGAAAAAAAGTATATTCGCTGGATTTTATTTTCACGGAATCATCCATTCAGCGAAAATAGCGAAAATAAATTCCAAGCGAAAATATAGTATTCTACAGTAATTCAAATAATTAC